AGACAGAGTCTCACTATGTCACCCCTGGTAGAATGCCGTAGCATCACAGCTCACAGCAACCTCAAACTCTTGGGCTCAAGTGATTCTCTTGCTTCCGCTTCCCAAGTAGCTGGGACTACAGGCACCCGCCACAACGCCTGGCTATTTTTTGGTTGCAGCCATCATTGTTGTTTGGCGGGCTCCAGGCTGGATTTGAACCTGCCAGCTCAGGTATATGTGGCTGGTGCCTTAGCCGCTTGAGCCACAGGGACTGAGCCCAAAACAGTTTATTTCTTAAACTGTAAAAAAAATTAGATCTTACTAAGAAACACCTTTAAAACAAGTCTTAAACATATCTGATCATTGTGTTTTCAGTTTATGATTTCCCTTAGAAGATTATCTTTCCTCAAATGGAGAGACAAAAAGCACAAAGACATGAATACATGTTATTTACATGAATACCACAAGTAGACTCAGACCCTAATTAAGGCTGAAAAGTAAAAAGTTTCTTCTTTCTCTAAATAGACAAAAACAGTGACAAAACAAACATATAAAACACAGGCATTCCACTTCAAGCTGGGTTAAACAGTGAGAGATACGAAGGAAGGAAAAGAGGAAAAGACTAAAATACAAGATTTTTCTAGTTTTTAAAAGGATATTCTCTGAACTGATGAATCTGTGCTCTGATGTGATCTTCACAAATCTGTCTCAGTTGTTTGTACAAGTTTGCAGAAATCTTATGAGAACAGAGATTTTCTACAGCCTGCAAGATTAAACACATACTTTTTAAAGGAGAGGATGGGGAAAAATTTCTCAATTATTTATATCAAATTCCTATTATTTTGACATCATTACCATATCAGCTTATTTAAAAGGGTTATTCATCCACTTAAGACACAAGCAACAAAACTTATCAATGTGGGTGGCAAACTTTTTCATAACTAATGTACTGTACCAAAAAAGAAAAAAATTACAGGCTGAGCCTCTCTAGTCCAAAATATGAAACATTTTCAGTACCAATATGACACTCAAAGGACATGCATATTGCATTTTCTAGATTTTAGATTTTCAAATTAGAGCTGTTCAACAAGTACATATAATGCAAATGTTCTAAAATCTGAAAAAAATCCAAAACCTAAAACACTTCTGGTCCTAGGTATTTTGGATAAGGGTCACTGAACCTATATAATTAGGGCTACATAGATTAAGGATACGAATACAACCATGTTCTTATTTGTGAAGACATCTAATTTATAACAACTGCTACATTAAAAAACTGTCTTCTTAAAAATGTTATTAATTTTCACAAGCAGAACTCCATTTTGAGTTTAAAAACTAATTTCAGCAATTGTTTTTGTATTACATGGGTTGGAAAGTCCTACTACAATTGAATCAAAATTTATTTATCCTTTCTTAGATTTTCCTGAATAGAACAAAGCAGAAGTTATTGCTAGCAGTATTATAACTAAGTACCATTTTTTTTCTAAGAATAGTCAAATAAATAGTTAAAATTCACAGAACTGAATAAACATTAATACAAAGGAAGCAAATGCATTTTTACTTCATTCTAATAGTTGAACTGGTCTTCCTTTATACTCAGATCCCAAAGGAGAACCTTCAGATTTCAGTGAACTTCTTATTATGTGTATCAAAAGACTTCCAAATTTAAAACAAGAGGCAGGCATAGTAAAACTCTTTGGGTAAATTCAGATATAATCTACAATTCCAACTAGAAATGACTTAAGTATTCCTTTCTCACCACAACAGAAAGCAAAAATTCCATTAGAATAGACTCTAGGGGGGCATCCTATTTCTGTTGGTTGGAGTGTAATTTTATAAATATGTAGTTGGAAGTTGCATTTCTAGTGTGCAGGTCTAGTAAATAAATTAGCAAATGAAAAGAAAGCTTAAAGGAAACCTCTTATAACATGGGAGGGAAATCGCCACACCTCACCAGAAAACAGCATGCCAATTAGATTCAGCAGCTACAAAGGAATAAGAAGGCTAAAGTCTCTGCTGGCCTGGCCACTTTCCATGTGAAGGGGGTTAGGCCACAAATGCTTAAGGGTATATTTGTGTTTATTTCATGTGCCCCTGTGTTCACATTGGTTCTCTGCGCACTGTTCCCCTTATTCCTTTAGTATTTTTCTCATTATATCTTAGTGTTTCTTTTGAGTGACTGACTCATCTTCTTAGCATTTCCCATTTCCTTGCTTAGATTCTGTCATATGACTTAGTGTGTACATCATAATTCTCCACATTTCCCACTTCTAGTACTTCTCCATGTCCTATTTATCCCATTTTGTTCTTCTGTGTTCCTCTTTCTCCCATAAAACAGTTCTTGAAACACTTATTTATCTTTTCACATAAGATACCACATACCTGGGTGGTACCTGTGGCTCAGTGGATAGGGCGTCAACCCCATATACTGAGGGTGGTGGGTTCAAACCCAACCCCAACCAGCTAAAACAACAGTGACAACTGCAACAAAAATAGCCAGGCATTGTGGCAGGTACCTGTGGTCCCAGTTACTCTGGAGGTTGAGGCAAGAGAATTGCCTAAGCCCAAGAGCTGGAGGTTGCTGTGAGCTGTGACACTATAGCACTCTACTGAGGATGACAAAATGACACTCTGTCTCTTAAAAAAAAAAAGATACCACATTCCCTTACTACTTAATTAGGTCTCATTTCTTCTAACAAGTTTGTCTTAATTGCCTTAGCTGCTAGTGACTCACATGGCACTCCCACCAATATACCACACAAACTCCTCATTGAGTTATTTATCTTTTTATGGTATATCCAGCCTGCCAGATTCTCCTCACCGATAGAAAGAGATTATGTGGTAATATACCTGTAAGTTCTTTAATACAGTTTTTGGACTTTCAACCAGGTAAATATTCAAAAAACTAACATATCTACAAAACAATTAGCAACGTGTCTTGCACAAAAAAGGGGATTCTAGTATAAAGAGAAAACTTGCCAGAAAACATGTAACTACAATAGACTGTGCTAGATATAATGGTGGGGATAAGCAGGAAGATGAGGTCCCTAGCCTTTAGGACAGGGCAAGTCAGAAAAACCTTCCTGGGCAGAGTGTAAAGAGGAAGAATCCTATATACTCAGAAGGAAATGGATAGAGTTCATGGAAATAGTGAATTAAGCTGGGCTTTACCATACACAGCCTCACCCATGTTTAGCTAGAAGGCAGTTTAAGAAGTTTGAAGCAATTGGCTTGGCGCCTGTAGCTCAGTGGCTAGGGCGCCAGCTATATACATCGGAGCTGGCAAGTTGGAACCCAGCCCAGACCTGCCCAACAACGACAACTACAACAAACAAAATAGCCGGATGGTGTGGCAGGCACCTGTAATCCCAGCTACTTGGGAGGCTGAGGCAAGAGAATCACTTAAGCCCAACAGTTTGAGGTTGCTGGGGGCTGTGATGCCACAGCACTCTACTAACAGTGATAAAGTAAGACTCTGTCTCAAAAAAAAAGTTTGAAGCAAGGAAGCCAGAAGCATCTAAGGTGAATTTTGAAGGTCTGATTCAAAGAAAACACTCTGCTTCCCTGATTTAGCCTTGACTACATCTTAACATATATACCAGATCTAATAATTACACTTCCTCAACAACCTTCCATCAAGCTCTTTGTATACTGTTAATGGAGAAATGCCACAATATGCATAAACAAAAAGAAAAGGACAGAACTGTGTGGTACATGGTCTACTATCATTTATGTAAAAAATTAGAAAAATGAATAAAAATATAGCTGTTTTTACACACATAAACCATCTCTGGAAAGATAAAAAACTAATGTTTGTTGAAGTAAGAATTTTCAGTAAATGTTCTGCAATATATTTTGGTCTTTGAACCAGAGGAATACAGTAAGTATTCAAAAAACTTTAAACCTGGTTGGGCGAGGTGGCTCACACCTGTAATCCTAGCACTATGTGGGGCTGAGACAGGTGGGATGCCTGAGCCCACAGGTTCAAGACTAGCCTAAGCCAGAGCTTGTCTCTAAAAGTAGCCAGGCATTGTTGCAGATGCCTGTAGTCCCAACTACTTGGGAGGCTGAGGCAAGAGAATCGCTTGAGCCCAAGAGTTTGAGGTTGCTATGAGTTATGACGCTATGATATTCTACTGAGGGCAACAAAGTGAGACTCTGTCTCAAAGACAAAAACAAAAACTTAAAACTCTTCCAATTTCCCCATGACCATACCTTTTAGCATGCTGTTAAGGCCATTCTTACCATTGTAGCTTTATGTCTGATAATAACCTTCCACATACGCTGTGATCTAAGTACTATGCTTTTCTCACTTTTGAACAAAGATTGTTTGGAGCAATGTGTCTGAAATGGTAGCTTTCAAAACTTTTTCACCCCAGTTCACATTGAGAAATAGTTTATGTTGGACATATGCATCAGAATGTTTACTGCAGTTCAATTCACAATCACCAAGATGCAGGATCAACTGAAGTGCCCAATTTATACATGAATGGATTAATAAAACGTGGTATATGTATGCCATGGAATACTATTCAGCCATAAAAAGGTGGAGACTTTACATCTTTTGTATTAACCTAGATGGAGCTGGAGAATATTCCACTTAGCGAAGTATCACAAGAACAGAAAAGAATCCAATGTACTCCAATACTAATATGAAATGAGTAGATGAACAAACATACACCTACATCAGAAAATAACATAATTAAACTTAAATGGGGAGGAAGGGGAGGAGGATAAGGGATTGGGGCCTTCTCAACTAACAGACACAATGTAAGGGTATAATGGCACATCTCCCGGGTGAGGGGCACAACTACAATTTGGAATCTAAGTAACTAATGCAAACAATGCAACCTAAATCATCTATACTGTCATATTAATCTGAAATTAAAAAAATTATTTTATGTCATCCATAGTAGATAAAATAAATTTAGGTAATTGAGATAAAATCCTCATGAAGCTACACATTATTATGTGTGATGCACTCTGATTACCTTCTATTTTTATTCTTTCTTAAAAATGCTCGCCATAGGCTTGGCACTCATAACTCAGTGAGTAGGGCGCTGGTCACATACACTGAAGGTGGCAGGTTCGAGCCTGGCCCAGGCCTGCTAAACAACAATGACAATTGCAACCAAAAAATAGCCAGGCGTTGTGCTAGGCGCTTGTAGTCCCAGCTACTCGGGAGGCTGAGACAAGAGAATCACTTAAATCCAAGAGTTTGAGGTTGCTGTGAGCTGTGATGCCACCACAAGCTACCGAGAGCAATATAGTGAGACTCTGTGTCCAAAAAAAAAAAATCCTTTGAAGGTAGCCAAACAAGCAAACTGTAACAAGTTTATAGTCTTTACTACTCCAAATTCCAGCCCCTCCTCTCCAAAATACATATATATCACATCAAAAACACGTCTGGAAAAAAAACCCCCACATACTTCAAAGGAAATGTAAACATGTAGCAAATGAAATGCAAATGTTTACTATCAACAGCAGACAATAAAAAAGATACTAAATTTCCACCAGGGTGCTCAACTCTGGAGTAATGAGTTGGTTCTTATTTTTCAAGCTACCTTTAAAGAAAGTAAAGCACACCACACTGGGTAGCACCTGTAGCTCAAGTGGCTAAGAGCTGGTGGGTTCAAATCCAGCCTGGGCCTGCCAAACAATGAAAACTACAACCAGGGCAGTGTCTGTGGCTCAAGGAGTAAGGCGCTGGCCCCATATACGAGAGGTGGTGGGTTCAAACCCAGTCCCAGCCAAAAACTGCAA